TAGTTTAAGCGTATTATACGATGGCGGGGTATCAAAGTTTTTGTAATTTAAAGCATTGCACTCATTTAACATACCTTCAGATTGCAATTGCAAAGACAGAAGCATAAGGCAAATCACGCAAAGTTATTTAATTACTCTGGTCAACAGTGATTTTGTTAAATGTACAATTTATGTTGATTCTTGCTTGCGCGGGTTACAAAAAAGAAATATTTTAATCTTAAATAAAATCTTATTTATCTTTATTATTCCTTTATCTTGTACGATTTCTCTGGTTTTGCAATTTTGTTACGTGATGGGCACATACACGTTTATCAGAAAGATTTGAAATCAGCACGAAAAAAGTGTATGATTAATTTTTTCGTTTACATTTAAGATGTAAAAAGTGAAATTTGGTTAGCGAATGTCACTTTTGAGAAGCACTGACAGGTAGTTTGACCGACACTCTTAAATGCACCTGTTACGTACTGTATGCCATGTTTCTCTTCTCGGTCAACCAATTATTTGCCTCCTTATCGCGTTGAAGAGCCAGCAAGGACGACACATCGTCAAATGAAGGTTGGAGTTGTCTGCGAGAACTTATATAGGGTGTTCGCACCCAAGTTTGAGTTTGGTGTTTAGCCTACGTGGCTGATACAGTTTTGTAGTTTGTAGGGTGTTGAGATAACACCTGAGGTAAAAACGTTTAAACCTGTCCTTTCAACAATATTTTCTTAACTTATGTTTCTGTATATAAAGATGTGTTTATAAATAATAAAACATGTTAAGATTAGGCTTATGTGAGATGTAAATTATCGCCAACCTGACAAGCACTACACTATATATAGAGAGTTTACATATGAATTCCCAGCTGGCCATGAACTGGATTGCAATGAAATACAGCTAAATGACATTTACCATTCATTAGCAATATTCAGATTTGTACTTTGCAGTTAATAAACTGGGACATAGTATTTTAATTAACAACAACAAAAACAAAAACTGCAGTATTTTAGAACATTTTTATAGTAATGCTATTCAAAATATTTTAACGTACTGATATTCCAAATTATGTTTCCTTCTTAAGAGGCAACGTGCTTAAGTAAATAGGTGATCTACATATGATGAAATCTAGATTTAGACTTTCAATTCTATTAATTAAAAAAAAAAATCGCATGTACTTTTTTCCCGTTGTTTAACTTTTCTTCCGTCCCCCCCCCAAAAAAAGTTTATTATTTCAGTTTTCCATGTCTTAGTTTTTCAATTCAAATAATAAAGTATTAATAATTACTTAAAAGGAGAGTTGTCTATTATTTTACCATATGATTAATAATACAACAAATTCAATAAATAATTACAACCTGAACTGTACTAACGTAAAAAATGTAGTTAATTATTTTCGGATGAGATTTGAATTTGGAAGCAAAGTCTTATTTTTTAAATGTGCTATTTTAAACTCAGCCGATTAAATCCTACCTTCTGAAAAAGAATATAAAAGTTATGAAAGGTGAAATAATCTAAATTTTATTTCTTTTGCATGACTTATAATATATTTAGCAAAATGTTTCCTATTTTGTTTAAATTACTATTACAGTATCGTAAGTTCATGACAGAAAATTACTAAGAGTTTACTAGGTGGAAGCATACTATGGCTAAAATGGCATTAAAAATTTTTGAGATTCAAAATTTTCGACGGATTATTCCTGGTTGTCCATAAAATAGGTATATAAATCATTGAGCATGTTTTATCTCACATTCAAAATCAGGACGAATCAAAATGGCCGTGCTTTTAGGATTTTGTAGCCTTTACGTGCATGACTTAAATTTTCCAATTTATGCAGTGAGAAAACGTTTTCTGGCAGTTGTGATTCCCTTTGTTCTCTTTTGTTAGGAAGCTTTTTCGAAAAAATATATTTCATTATATAGCTTCTGAAATAGATTTGTATACCGTCAAACGGATTTATATACCGTCTTGATACTCTAAATGAATCGTAAGATGTAAAAAGGAGCTATGTGATAAAAGTCAAATTTTACAGGAGCAACAACAACAACAACAAAAAAAAAAAAAAAAAAAAAAAAAAAAAAAAAAAAAACTATCCCATTCCTCACAAGCATATCAGAAGAGGGTTGAAAAATCCTGAATTATATGGATTTTAGTTACAACAATCTCATAAATTTTGCTGTTGACTACTGACATTCTTGTGAGGAATGGGGTAGTTTTTTATTGTTCTTATAAAACTTGACTCTTGTGACATAGCTCCTTTTTACGTCTTCCGACTCAAACATTTTCTGAAATTTATTTTAATATTAGTGAAACAGAAGTTGTATCTTTGATTAATATTGAAATACAGGTACTAACCAAAACTACAACCAACTTTTCAAATCGTTTGAAAATAGCCAAATCTCTTCAGCGATGTGAGATTATTCGATTCAGATTTGCCATTGAAGTAGAGCTTTTGTTATTCTACATTCCTCCTTCAACTGCCGTGGTTTAATAGCGTTTTGTCATCAAATTTGATAATTTTATAACTCGAGAAACCCGTTGAAATCCACTGTGTAACTTTCGCACCGTATATACTGTCTACGACGGAAATGTTTTCTCAGTTCTAAGACTAGTCTCTAAAATTTAATTAGGCGATAGTATCAGAGTCAAACTCTGAATTATGTTAAAGATAGATATCTTTTCTCGTCTTTAAACTGAATTTACTTCTTTTTAGATAAGAATATTGTCTATTAATAAATATATAAAAGTACCGTTTGATTAAGTCTTTCATATAAAACAACTTTTCGAGATAAATGCCAATCATTAGTCATTATATGTACAGACTTGTGAAAGTGATTGCCATTATTTGATACTTTTATTTTTGATTTTAATGCAATCCATCTAAATGCTGAAAAATATTGCCCAAGAAGTCAAATTAATCTATTTGTTAGGCTAATTCCTTGAAAGGCACCGAAATTTATCGGTTTCAAAATATAAGTAAATAATTATTTAATAAATAAAATATAAAATAAGCAGCAGACAACTATGTAGAATGATAAACTAAATAGTAAAAAGCATAGTAAAATTTCGGTCGACGGTAAATATATTTTAATAAATAAAGCTAAGGAAATCAGCTCAAAAAACAGTTATATAAAAGATATGGAGATTAATTAAAATATTCAGAAAATTGCAGGTACTGCCAAGATATTTCTTGCGTTGTTTATTGCTTGTGGCTTAAATTTATCACTCAGTAATTCCTTTTTTTGCATAACCCTATACATACACCTACACCATACAGTATCGTTCGTATTATTACAGTATTGAAGTTTGCTCTAACTTTAATGTTCAGTTAAAAACATTAGGTCTTTAAGACTTTAAGATGAAGTTTCAGTAGTTCAGTGAATAATACATATATTTTCTAAAGTTTGTTTGTAAACATTACTTTTTGATTACTACTCTTAAAAGAAGAATTATTGTGCGTAGGAATGATGTATGTTATGACAACCGAAAAGTCTTATCTATATGGCATTTGATGTTTTTACTAACTGGAAGTTTTGCATTTCTATAGAAAGAAAAGTTCTGTCACAATTGCAACTACTTTAAAAGATTCATCCCCAATATTTTTAAACATTCTTGCGTTAAGCTATATGTCGTATAGTACATGTATTACGACAAAAATTCGGAGATCAGTAAATCTCTGAATTTAACCGATATATCCTAACATTTACCAATATCGAGCAGTAAAAATCAGAAATAACTAATAAAACATATTGCCTACGGGCTTCTACCAACAGATTACAACAACTATTCAGATTTACCGATGCAAATCGCTAATCCTTCAAACCATTTCAAGTTTGTTTTCAAATACACATCTTCGGAGTGCTTTTAGTGTTTCCTTCAGTCACTTTTCTCTGTTACAGTTCATCAAATTGAGTGACGTTGTGCTTCGTAGGGTTTATGAGTCTCGGCCTTTAATAAATCGAGGAATAACAAAATAATAACAAAGTTTCTTCAATTAGTTGAGTCTATTAGGCTTTTTGAAGCAAGAATTGTGAAAAGGAGCTATGTCTTCGCCGGGATTCGGATTCCAGATCTTCAATTGCTAGGTGAACGTACTACCAGTTATACCAAGGAAGGAAGAGAGCTTTATTAGTTAACAAAAAAGCAATATTCTGTAGACCAGAGTGAAAGATGTAAAGATATCCGTTCATTATAGAGTTTTGAAGTTGCATGATATTTTCAGCATCAACATTTAAGAGAAAATTCAAGCAAAGCAGAAAAGGAATTCGTCATTGAAATGTGTGATACTGATCTGAGTATCACAGGTTTTGAGCTTTCAGATGCGACAAGCTATCCGTTATGGGCAGCGTTGATAATAATGAAAGGATAATATTGTGAAAGGAGGGGAAATATTCATTCATCTTTCCCCCAAAAAGGAGTATCCAACAAAACGTTTTTACGGTTATCCCATAATTATTTTCTTGAAATTTTTCATACTGATGCCCTCTGGCACTTCCAGAGTATTGTAGAAATGCCTGAAAACATAAAATAAAGGAAATATTAGAAGACATTTTATTACGTGTGAAATTAATTTAAACTAATTATTGTAGTCATGTTATCATTGTTTTAATATAATAAAATTATAGTACAACAGTTGTCACCCTGTTCGGTATGGTGGTAGGGAAACCAACTGCCATATCATTACACCTTTAGTTGTCTAGCCTTCTCTTTTCACATATGTAATATCGGTCTAGCAGTGCACCATGGGCAAAGTTCTTCGTAATGAGACGGCTAAATGTTTATTCATAATCTTACTATTATTCCATCAGATAATTATTGTTATCTTTAACTGTAAAACTTTCAGAACACAGTAAGTTTCATAATTATATAAAAATCTATACAGAATAGCGAACTGAAAATCTATCAATATTCTGATGTTTAAAAGATCACGTTTTTCAGGTTCTATGAAATTTATGAAGATGAATCTTTTTTTAGAGCCGTTATTTCTTAATTAATTAATATTATTATTATTTCTTTATAGAATGAAGGGGATCTACATTACGATATTGCTGGTAGTTTCGGCTACAGCTTTACCAAATCCGGATACAGAAAAACAGACACCTTCCAAAGTGGAAACAGAGTCTCAGCCAGCCACAGCTAGAGCAGCCCGGTTTGATGAGAGAAAATTCAATAGCAACAAGCAAGCTGCACCTACCTCCAACGATCTGGACACAAACAAGAAACAAGTATCTCAGTTCCTAACATCTAAAAACGTTATTCGTACTCTCGTGAAGCTGATTTTTGGCAACGATGAAGAAAGCGCTGCGACATCAAAACAAATCCTAAATATTTTTGTCAGTGTTCTGGACATGTTAAAGAGCACATTAGGTCAGAGGGCAAGATCTGCAACATCTAGGGGGTCTCGAGCTGTTTTAGATGATGCTGCCATAGCCAGTGCTTCTCTTCTTAAAGGCTACATTCGGGCATTTATGACAAATAACAACACTTGTGTGCAAAAGTACTTATGTGAAGCAAGCAAGGAGGCTGTTAATGACGGTAGAGAAGTCGGATATCTGATCGCCCAAATTGGAGGGTAAGTTCATATCTTTCTAGTATTAATTTCTTTTGAATCTTAGCTAGTTGGTCATAAATGTATTTACAAATATTTCTCATCAGTATACACTAATGGTTATCAGACTTTTAAGAATCTGCTTTTATAGCACAGCCAGGGCTTACAATGCATTTTATTTTTGGGTTTGGAAGTTTTATATCTCATTAAGGCTGTAAAACACCATTTCATAAAAACAGTTCTCTGTAAACATATCTTCTTCAGTTCTTGAGAAATTTTGTAAATTTTAATTCAGGTCATGCCCTAGCAAAGGGAAAACGTCATGTAATTTTTTAACTGAAATGAACAGTTTATTATTTTGTTCTAAAAACCTGAAGAACTTGGTTGCAGCATTTACACAATTTACATTATGATTACATTCTATGAATATAATATTCTTACGACGATATTATATCCGAAGAAAACATTCATTAAGAAATTAACTTTTAAACTTGTGTTTATCAAAAAGCAATACTTTTTGATATTGGTCGAGAGATGACAGAAATGTAGGTACTTATTACAATATTCTCATGGCTTCATGACAATAATGTTGCGTTCGTCCTTAGAAATTTGCGATGATTTGCATGACATCGCATAAGCTTCGAGTTTCTAAAATTCATTTCCTGGTATTCAAAGGTATTAATTTTTTTCATATAAATGTTGTCCCCCTCTCTAAATGGCGGGCACTAGCCATTATAGGCATTGGCTATTACCAAGGCGGAAGCGGTGGTCGCTTTATTATGGAAGCACCTAATAGGTAGGCTACCGTTGCCTCCTATGAAGGGACTGACAACTTACATCCATATCTTCTCCGGAATTTGACCTCGGGTCCTTCGTTACGGCAGTCAGAGTCACTAACCACATGACTACCTGGGCGGCCTATATACTAAAAGTATAGATGTGAGAAATTCTGCTACTGATCGGAAATCTTCCTTGCACATCATGAGTTAGGAACAAAAGTTAATATTTTTTCTCAGGTAGGAAAATATATATCGAAGGATTCAAATACAGCGTGAAGAGATGTTCCAAAATTCCTCGACTTTTGCAATGTAGCTAATCCTGGTGATAATAATGAATAAAGTTTGATGTAGGAATGAGGAAATTTGGAAAATTTTAAGTTATCTTTGGATAAGATTCGATGCGTCAAAAGTGAAAATATTTGATTTAAAAAAAAATCAATGATTGATTTTACATTTAAAACATTTAATGCGAGCATGAATTAAATCTTCTTTCATAAATACTATTTAATGTAAAATACGAAATATTAGTTAATAATAATTAAGTAATAATAATTAGAAACAACTACATAGTAATCATCCTATGGAACACTCCAAAAGGTTATTCTTCACTATGCAAAAATTTAAATGGGTGTCACAATTAAAAAAATAAACAAGAAATCTGAGCAAATCAATTTTTATTTGAATCAAGCTGACTATCCCCAAAATATCTATATACTTTTATTTCGTTTCAAGTAGTTAAATACTATTCATTAGAATGCAGTAACCTGATTTCGGGAGACAATTTTATCGTCTTTGAGACCTGAAAATGGTGAAGAAATTGAAGAATTTCCCTTAAATTGGATTGCGTTCATTCACATCTGTTAAATGTTTGCATGAAATTAATCATTTTAATTTAAAGGTGGGATTAAATATGTTTCACCTTTAAACAGTTCTGCTAATGCTGTTCCCCTTGGATACTTCTTAGTTGATTTTCAAAGACATTAACCTTGGACAAAAAAACTACCATTTTGCCCCTTTGTTCTTTGGTTATTATAAGTAATTTTTGTAATAATTTCGAACTCTTTAATAACTCTGACGTTACAAGACATATCAATTTAAAAAACAGAAATGCTATTTTAAATTTTTAAGTTTACTAAAACAACTTTCAACATTTTATCCTAAATAAATTTATATTAATATAGTAGACTATATTTAATAGATTAACCGAATAAAGCAAAATATAATTTGAATGAATTAAGTTTCTACCTGCTAAAATTTCATATATTTTATGTGTTCCATTACTGTTCTGATCCTACTGCAGTGGTTCTTGATTTAAGAATTTCATAACTTAAACCTTCTTTTATAAAGTTCTAGATATTTTAAATAATGTAAAGTTGTTGAGGAACTAATAAATTATGTTTTAAGTTTGCTTCTTTTCAGTATTTTACCTGCCGATTGATGGCCATTGATGATTCTAAAACAAAGAATCATGGGATTATTATTTTTGCAATTGCATTATTGTTTTCGAGTGGGATGAGGGTTGGTGAAGAAATATTTAATTATTGAGTTCTGTGCTGTTTAGAAACCATACTTGTTGTTTTTAAAAGATTTGGTAAATTTAGTAATATTTTTGTAAGAACAGGTACTTACATATCAATTATTAAGTAATGAAATATCTTGTAACATCGTGTTTGTTTAGCTATCATAAAATGTAAGCGACGTTGAAGAATGTTAGGGACTTATCACAAAGTCCTTTAAAGTACTACAAAGTCAGGACAAAGCTGTAAAGAACCTTTTATTAACTCAAAAAAAGTTTAACAGTCGACACCAACTCGTGTTTACAGAAATCAACACTTTTGGATTAAACCAAAAGGTAATGACTAGCTTAAAATTGATGAAGTATAGATTAATGGCTTCACTGTTTAACTATCACGCAAGCTGGCTCTGCCTCAGAGTCGGCGTAAACAAGCTCAATGGCAAGAATAACTCAACGCCGCAGAATTCAAATCTGTAGAAAATCAAAGATAGCAACTTGGCCTTCGGACAGGCAGAACACGCTTTGATTTCACCCTCCAAAACCTTCCTTTAAATATTTCCGTCCCTTTACCTAATCTGAATATCGTGCATGCTGGAAATTTGCATTCTGGCAGGGAAATGAAATAAGAATTGAGAGGAAAGATATTTTAATTTAAAATAATTTGTTAAAAATTAAAGGATACTCTACATCCTTATCTCCAAAGATTTAGAAAAGGCTCAGTATTGCCAGATCTTTTTCAGACATCTTAATATTTGATCATCTCTCAGTCTTAGTGTTATTTGATATGTCACTGAACAGATTAAAAACGGAACTGTCATCAGTTTGCGAGTTAATATTAATAGGTCTCTCGGAAACTACTGATAAACTTCAGAAAACTTACTTTGCTATTGAATAAATGCACTACATTTCTCTTAATATATATGGAAATTAATACCAACTGAAGTTTTCATTTATTCTATTAAAATATTCATCATGCATTTCGTATAATAATTTAAAATCTTTCGAAGATGATTCTAAGTATTAATCGCGTGAAATATTGTCCTTAAGTTACTTTGGTCAACCTTCAGCTCTTCTGCAATTTCTAATCTGATTTGTATTTAATATTTTGTACTTAATATATCTGGATGATAAAATGTGCATATGTTTTATTTTTGTAAGAAATTTTAGGAAACATTGTGCATAATGCATTGTCCTTATTTCATTTTTTTGGACGAGGGCGGATAAAGACTTGCACGACAAGCTGTGAGGAAACCTTTCTAAAATTTAATTTCTTTTAATTAAACATAACATTTGTTTTAATGTTTTAACCATTTAATGTTTGACAAAAGGTTTGATTAAAATATATAAATGACACTTTCTAGTTTTCTCTTGCTAAAATTAAGACTTTCATTATCAAAAGAAACAGTAAACTAAAATATTATAATTAATGCATTATCTTTTATAAGTATTATGTTACTAGCAGCTGATTTATTATTTTAGATTAGACAAATTAAACTTTAGATTGGCTGTGACATTGATTGTAGAAATCTATTCTATTTATGGATTTATGTTATTCAGTCGAAGGCTAAATTGTGCCTGATTTTACATTTCTGTTCTCCATGATTGTCATGTCATCTTACATGTTAGTTACACTTATGCATGTGTGCTAACTTTAAGCAACATAAATTAAGAAACATCCTCGAAAATTTTTATGCACACTATGGGCAGATTTTAAGTTATGTACATTATATATAATTTTAGTAATTTAACATTCTCGCAAATATCGAATCCCGCAAATCTCGAAATGATTGCACAAATTAACCTTTTTCTGTTAACGCGGAGTTTATTTTAAAACTTAAATATCATTCCTTTGGTGCATTTATCTTTAACATGAGAAACTGTTGACTAAAAGAAATATGCGTCAATACTGGCAGGTTCGCAGTGAATAATGCCATAATTAAAACAACAAATATGGTAATAAAGTTGAATGGCTACATTGGGTAATTAAATAAAAATTTATTTTTCTCCCCTAGAGAACCCCAAAGATATTTCGAAAGCTGTTATAACTGCGGGTGTGGAAGTAATATCGACTTAGGTATCCTAAGTCATTTAAAGTGTAGCTGTATTAGCAATACATTGTGAAATACAGCATTTTTTAATCGCATTAAATTCTTTAGGAAAAGCTTAAAATATCTGTTTTATATTGCACCTAAAAATACGACCACAGTTTCATTTCTGTGTTTCTTTGTTCCTATCATTTTCATCTATGCGTCTAACCCTGTTTTGTACCTTATCCTGTATTCATATTTCCTAATATTAACATTTACAAGCAAACTATTGCTGGGATTCCAGGAAATGAAACATACGCAGAGCGATTATTTAGATGTTTATAATTTTTATTCTTTTGTTTTGTACTTTTTATTTTAGATATGCGGCAAGTTATGCTTTGGAAACTCAGAAAGCTGCTGCATTCCAAGAAAATTATGCTGCATCGCGCCGAGGTCGAAGTGGAGAAGACTGCAAATCGATCTATCAAGTGTGTAACGAAGTTGAATAGTCGGTCACATTTCTGAAGACTACTTATCATACCGCACCGATTTCTGTTAGCTGGACTGACAATCATTGACACATTGCACTTTTTTTAGAAACTTGTATTTTATGTTTATAAGAGTGAAATTCGCATATGTGAATATCTCCTAACATGTAATATTTTCCAAACAGTTATTTATTATAATTTTTGTTTTCACCATACACTTTTGCCTAATAGCACACTTTGAATTCATATATTATTGTGTTTCATGACAATGTTTTTTTGTTTTTTGTAATAAAATGAAAAGCACTCAGCAATTTCGTTTTTCTTTCACACTTTATTTCACACGACAGTGCAAATGTTTTCTGTTATACACTGGTGTGCAAAAATTAAGGACGAGACGGTTTTTTCAATATAACTTTGTACAAAAGCTTTCCAAATCAACACATTTAATACCGTAAGATCCAAAAATACGTAAGGACATGAGTAATGTAAGCAACACTTACTAAAAGAGAAATCACAGGGGTAAAAAGAAGCTTTGTTGAAAAAGTAGCATGGAGCGCAATGCGACTGAAGGCCGAAACATCCCTGTGATGGGTGTCCAGCAAGAAACATCCGGTCTTTAATAGGGGATATGATCTCCCCTGACTGCTAGGCAGGTTTCACAGCGTCTGTCCATGCTGAGAATGAGGGTGTCAATGAGTTGTTGAGGCATTGCTGCCCATTCGTCTTGCAGCGCCAATCGAAGCTCCGGAATCGTTACTGGTGATAAGGTACGAGCTGCCAAGCGTCTGCCTAGAAAATCCCATACATGTTCGATGGGATTGAGATCCGGAGATCGTGCCGGCCAATCCATACGTTCAATATCCTCACTCTCTAAGAGCTGTTCGGCAGCTACCGTGCGATGACAGGGTGCATTGTCGTCCATGAAAAGGAACTGCGGACCCATAGCGCCTCTAAAAAGACGCACATATGGAAGAAGAATCTCGTTACAATAACGGGTCCCGTTGACTGAACCTGCGTCGAAGATGTGAAGGTCTGAACCAAGCATGATGCGTCCCCAAACGAGAACACTGCCACCTCCATAGCTGTCCCTTTCAATGATGTTCGAGGGATGATTGCGTCTTCCCCGCTCTCTCCAGATGAGTATGCGATGAGAATCGCTACTCAGACTGAATCTGCTCTCATCTCTAAAGAGTACTCGTCCCCATTCATTGTCTCTCCATTTCCGGTGTTTCCGGCACCACAGAGAACACCTTCTCCGATGGGCAGGCGTTAGAGGTACACACCGTACAGGGCGTCGTGCAAACAGACCACCACCGTGCAGTCTTCTGGCCACGGTAAAACGCGATATCGGTCGTCCAGTCGCCTGTGTCGTGTGTCTAGCGATTTCTCCCGCCTGTTTCTTCTGGCCTGTAAGGCAATATGCCGGTCATCTGCGGGTGTGGTTCCTCGTGGACGACCACTACTAAACCCCCGGATAGCTGTTCCTGTAGTTTGAAATTGTCACCAAAGTCGTGAAACGATGCTGTGAGCAATTCCGAACTCTGCAGCCACACTTGTGACACTGCGGCCTTCCTCCAACTTCCCAATGATTCGACCTCGGGTAAAAGCATCCAGATGTCGTCTAACAGATTGATTATTCGCCATTTCTCGCTGAGGCAGTAACTCAGTGTGATTTTAACTACTATACGGCGTGCAATCTCTTTGCCAGAAATACTGATCTTACACCGACAACATACTTTATACTACTCAGACACTCCCCCATTACGTCTACCTGCATATCTCCGCATGTGCTACCGTACATCACCTTACTTAATCTCCTGATTGGTCTTTCTGTCCGCTCTGCCTCTTCGTTCAGCTGATATGCTAATTTTTCGACTTCGTCCTTAATTTTTGAACACCAGTGTAATTAATGCAAATAATTTATATATAATGCTAAAAATGATAAATGTTCCTTTATTTTAAGATATTTATTTAAAGTTTTAATGCATTTAAAGCAGGTCTTCATAATGAATCGTTGAAAAAAATCACAGATGAATAACTGAGGCGTATGAATCAAGGTATTGTAATTAGTCAAAATTAAAATTCGTGACTCATCGTCCTTCCTTTCAATGATACCTTGAATTTGAGCTATTTTGTATCTATTCGAACATTTCTTATGTAAAATATGTCCTTCTTCCTCTCTATTTTCCTGTAATTTGATTGGGCAATACAATCAGTTTTGGAAAACAATATATTGCAGCTGAGATTTCAAAGATAATCTAGCGTAATCTGAAAATCATTGCAATATGCAAAGAAAAGTATTAATACCTCAAAAAATTAACTGTCATAAATAAACAAATTGTATGAAAAATAACTTGTCAAGACATGTCAAGGTTCTTCGGTGCATTAAAGGTTAGGCCAGGAACGGAGAAACACTGCCATTGATTCCTGGGAGTGCCGTCATTAGGCTAACAGGACTATCGGCCAAGAGGTCTGCTATGTAATTTCTAAATAGTAAACATAATAACATATCGGAAATAACGGGTGCATACTTTTAAATTAAGCATTTTTTTAAAGAAAATGTTTTTTTTAAGCTCAGAATTCATGAGAATGTTGAAATAATTTTAAACGTTACCTCTTTTTCCTAAAGAAAAGAATTAAGATGCGAAAACGGTATGGAGTTCGTTTTCTTTGGTAGTATAAACTAGTGTCAAACCCTAACAGATTTGGAGCGAATTATTACTTCGTCTGAAAATAACTAGAAAGTCTTGAAAAGGGTTTAGAAAAAACTTTTTATTAAATCAGAACTTGAAGATAAAACGCCCTTCTAGTGCTTGACAAGCTTGTAGGGTTTTATATTTATTTTAACTAACATTTATTTTAAGTTTAAACTATCTTTCCTGTCAAGCCTTACTTTCCCCTGGAACTGCCAATTCCAGAATATGTAAATTTTAGTAGAACGCGCAAGGATTCAAATTATCAGCGGAAGTATTATGATTTAAATAGAAGGAAACAAGTTCGGTGCGTGATATTCTTACTTCACGAGCGCGGAGGTAGTTAGCGAGAAATTGAAGAACCCCGCGTTTCGGCCTATGTGCTTGGCGGGAAGTAGTGTTAATCGTTCAAGTGAGCTTCAAGTCTGCTGAATTAGCAGCGGTGTTGTAAAACGCGGTGAGTTAGTTATTTTAGAGAGCCTCGTAGTTAGAGTCTTGTCTTTAAGTTCTTTTCAGGTTATTATTTTTATTTGACCGCCGAGTTGGCGCCGTCTGTAAGCGTCAAGAGCACGCAATTGTAATTTATTACGTTGAATAAAAAGGTACTTAAACCCTTTACAAGACTCTGTGTTTTATCCTGTTTTCACAGTCACCCCTTGGTTGCGTGCAAGTTGGAGGCGCGCAACGTTACATTGGCGCCCGAACAATTATCGAACTGAAATGGCCGAAAACTGGATGGAAGCCGCTGGACAACACCAAGAAATGACAAGCCAGTTAGAAGGATTTGGATACCTGGTCCAGACTTTGAGAGCGTCAATCAAGCCAAACGTCCATTTCGACGGAAAAAATTCGGTGGCGGTATTTCTAGAAGGTCTAGAAAACCACTTTCAGCTCTACCCTGTTCCCGAAAGACAAAAAGTTGCCATCGCCTCATCAGCACTAAGAGGACAGGCCGCGCTATGGTGGAAAAACATAGGCAAATTTTTATTAGGGGAAGTTGGAAGCCAGACATATATATTTGAAAATTTCAAAAAATCGTTAGTAAAGGCCTTCCCCATAGTGAAAGATCGCGCACGGCTGGAAGCCGAACTATATAGTTTCTATCAACGGGATACAGCAGAATTGACGGACTTTATTCTACGAAAAATCAAGCTAACGGATATGCTGTATGGAAAGAAACCCGATGCGGAGATTATTGAAATAATATTACCAAGATTGTTACCCCTACCCGCTGTTCAAGACTACTTTGAAATTAGAAACCCAAGCACACATTGCAGGAACTTTTCGAATTGGCGGTGAAGTTTCAAAATCGCAGAATAGCGGAAAAAGCGAGAGGGGAAACATATTCTCAAAGTACCCGAAGGAATCTTCAAAGGAGGAAAACCAGAAATGGAAATCGCTCTTATGGGGGAAAGAACTATCAAGCTAACGCATCGAAACTCGAAGGTCAAGGCCCAAAAAGAAAATTTGAAAATAAGCATCCGCGTACCCAGAAGACACAGATTGAAAGGAAAGCGTTAAAAACGAGTAGAGAGGGGCCTGTGAAAGGGAGGGTCCAGACCCCCGGAAGTTTTAAAAAACCCTCAAATAGACATTTAAATACGGTCATCGTAAAAACTCACAGCTACCAATTATACAAGTCCTGGTTGGCGATGTACCAGTAGAAGCCCTCATCGATACAGGAGCAGAAGGAAATTTTATGAGTGAAAATTTCTTCAAAAAGAATTTTTATAGGGTACGACTATTTAAAACCAAAAATACGGAAATTATAGCGGCGCAAGGAAAAACATGTCACTGGATCGGGAAATTATCATTAAACCTACAGGTAAAAGAGGAAAGTCTCAAAGTATTAATTTTTGTCGTGAAAGATCTGCAACACTCTCTTATTTTAGGTATGGAGTTTTTAAGGGCCGCGAGGGCCAAATTAAATTTTCAAGATAGTTCCGTGGTGTTGGAGATGGACCAGAGGGTGGTGGAACCTGTGGAGACATCTCAAGTGGACCTTAGCCATCTGAATGACCATGAAAGTAAAGCAATACAGCAAGTGGTGAGTAATTTTTCATTTTGTTTTCAGAAAAACCAGGAAACTGCCAAATAGTGACGCACAAGATTCAATTAATGCCGAAAAACCTTGTAGGACTAAGCCATACCGTTATGACAAACAAAAAGGCTTAATCATCGAAGAAATATTCAGGAGATGTTAAAGAATAAAATAATAACGCCCATAAATAGTGAAGTACGCGAGTCCAGTCGTACTATGTAGGAAAAAGAACGAGTTTTCCTCCTTCGGATAAAAGGGCTTGGGAGGTTTGCTATTGATTACAGAAAACTAATAGTATTACTACCAAATTTCCAGTTTACCCTTTGCCGGTTATAGACGAGATCATTAGACAGATCAAATCGACAAGATATATGTCTACTTTGGACTTAACGTCTGGCTACTATCAAATAGCTATGAGACCCGAAGATATACATAAAACCGCGTTTATAACAAAATCGGGCACTTATGCATTTTTACGCATGCCCTTTGGGTTGTGTGGGGCCCCCATCAACATTCCAGAGAGCTATGGACATTGTTCTAAAGCCTGTCCTAGGAAAGTCAACTTTAATTTAT